CAATCACCCTGTAATCCCAACCCGTAATTGCATGTATGTGTAGCATTGCTCCGAGACGGCGCACTTGTGGCTGCTAGCTAGACGTACGTTGATTATTCTTGCAATTTTGCGGAAAAATTACAGCGATGGAGTAAAGTAAATTTCTTTGTGACGGTCATGAAATAAATTGGAAAATGTTTAATATCTATCGACTGATTTTTTGATCGCGTAAGCCGCCTGGTGCGCCGTCGGATTAACGGCCGCGCGTGGTGCATTAGGGTCGTGTTTGGTTGCCTGTGTGAGGTCCAACCAGGTCCACGCGGGAAAGGATTCAGCCTGTTTGGTAGCCCGCATACACTATTGGGCCTGCATCGCACGCTTCTTAAAGCACCTCAGGGTCTGGCTCACTGGAAACGCATGAATCGGTAGTTTCTCCAGGGCCAGGCCCGAGCGGTGCACGTGGGCGGGCGCGGCTGCACGTGCGCGACCACGCTCGAGAAGCGGCGTTGCTTCCCGAAGCACCGGCAGTTATTAGCCTCACTGCCCCTCACCACTCCCTCTCCTCACTCTTCCCCACTCTCCCAACTCTCACCGGCGGCGGCGGATCGGAGCATAGGAAGAAGACTACCGGACTCAATCACCGGCGGCGGCGGATCGGAGCAGAGAAGAAGACCAAAGGACTCCCCAATGGCGGTAAGCACTTCTCTCTCTTCCACATGAACGCTAGATTCGATCCACGGCGAACGGGAATGGGGAATAGAGGTAGCTAAGCATAGGGGTAAATCATACTAGTTCATAGCAGTTCATACATGCAAGATCGGTAGGTTTAGGGATTGGGGGATAGGGGAATAGGGGGAAAGGGGGTATAGAACAAATACCGGCTGACCGCGGCTGCCGTCACCGGCGTGCGGAGCGGCTGGTCGAGCCGCTGGCCTTCATCTTCTTCTTCATCGCCGTGCGGGCCGGCGGATCGTCCTCGTCGTCCTCGGCAGAGTCGAGGTCGATCTGCCAGGTAGGATGGACTGGCTCCGGCGCCCTACCTGGCATGCGCACCGCCTCTTCTTCCTCCTCCTTAGGATCCCCGCCGATGACCGGCGGCGGCGCGATACCCGTCTCCCAGTATACTGCGGCACGGCGGTCATTAGGAGCAAAGTGGTTCTTGTACTTGCGCCACTTCTTCCTCTGTTTAGGGTCGCCGGAGACGGCCTGATTCATGGCCCAGCGAAGGATGTCAAATGCCATCGCGCCCTTCACTGGGTCAGGAATCAGCGTCTTCAGCTCATCTTGAGTGGCCTTCGTGAGCACGGCATTGGATTCCTTCTGCATTGCCGGCATGGAGCCGAAGTTCGAGCACACCTCCATGGTGTTCTCGAACTTGGTACGGTCACCAGCCGTCCACCCGAGGAAGAAGGCCCTCCAGCCAATACCCCAAGGGAAGGGGTTGCCGTTGGAGCTTGAGCTAGAGCTCATGGTGATGGGGAGGAGGAAGGTTGACAGTGAGAGAAGAGAGGGGTGGGTAAATAGTGGTGGGAAGGGTGAGTAAATATAGGGGGGTGGAGAGGAGGACAAGAGTGACAGTCATGCCGTTTTAACTGCAAGCTCTTGAATTAGCCATGAACTCTGCGCAATGCCTGACTCCATGACTTGTGTGCAGATCGAGGATAGCAATGCGATGGGCACGGAGGTGCTCCCGGCCGTTGACAGCAAGGGAAAGCAGCCCCTTCACCCAATGCCTGGCGAGGTTGAGCTGTCGCCCACCGCCGAGGAAGACCCGAAGACGCCTGAGGGTGGCAACGACGAGGGCATGGAGGATCCCCCCCAGCAACAAGCGCCACAACTACGGCCACTACCATCAGGAGGATGGCCCAACTCACTTCTGCAAGGTCATTCTTGCACCGAAGCTTGAGTGCATCCCCATGCCCCTGGACTTCACCAAGCACTTCGTCGCGGTGCCGACGGAGTTCAAGCTCAGGAACAACACCGGCTGCTCCTGGAAGGTGACGGTCAAGCTGATGAACGGCAGGGTGACCCTGGATCAGGGTTGGGCCACCTACACAGCCGTTCATCAGATCAAGATCGGCTACATGGTGACGTTCAAGCTCCTCACTCCCGACACCCTCAAGGTCATCATCTTCGACGACGATGGCATTGAGGTCATCAACAAGTGCGGGAAGCACGACAAAGCCTTCGCCGCCAAGGAGTAGGGTTGGGGCCTCCCTAAGTACTATCGAGTCTGCTATGGTTTATGCGTAGAATTGTTATGAACTGTCGTACTGCTTATATCTAAATTATCTAGTTGATGCTCTGTTTATACTCTGTTGTGCTTATGATGTGTGCTGCCGAAGTGTGGTGGTAACCTCACCAACTAGCCAAAGAGGTTACCACACATCAGGCCTTGCATACAACCAAACACCATGCCTTGGGTTTGTGGACTAACATGCAGGCAACCAAACACCAGGCAGTGTGGTTCAGCCCATGCAGGTAAGAGGGCATGCAGGCAACCAAACAACATGCATATGGTGCATTTGAGGCTGCATTTGCATAGCCAGCTTGGGTGGAGAAGTGTATGCGATGCAGGCACTGTATGGATTTTATTTTACACATTTATATCATTTTTGGGACTAACCTACTAACCAGAGGCCCAACCTGCATTGCTGTTTTTTTTTTGCCTATTTCGGTATTTCGAAGAAAAGGAATATCAAACGGAGTCCAAACGGAATGAAACCTTCGGGAGCGTGATTTTTGGAACAAACGTGATCAAGAGGACTTGGAGTGCAAGTCAAGAAGCTGTCGAGGCGGCCATGATACATCTCCAACGTATCTACTTTTCCAAACACTTTTGCCCTTGTTTTGGACTCTAACTTGCATGATTTGAATGAAACTAACCCGGACTGACGCTGTTTTCAGCAGAACTGCCATGATGTTGTTTTATGTGTAGAAAAGAAAAGTTCTCGGAATGTCCTAGAAATCCACGGAGGCACTTTTCAGATTTAATAAAAAAATTTGGCAAAAGAATCAAGGCTAGGGGGCCCACGGGCTGTCCACGAGACAGGGGGCGCGCCCTCCTATCTCGTGGGCCCGCCGGACCTCCTCCGACCTCAACTCCAACTCCATATATACCGTCTCGGGGAGAAAAAAATCAAGGAGAAAGTTTCATCGCGTTTCACGACACGGAGCCGCCGCCAAGCCCTAATCTCTCTCGGGAGGGCTGATCCGGAGTTCGTTCGGGGCTCCGGAGAGGGGAATTCATCGCCGTCATCATCATCAACCATCCTCCATCACCAATTTCATGATGCTCACCGCCATGCGTGAGTAATTCCATCGTAGGCTTGCTGGACGGTGATGGGTTGGATGAGATTTACCATGTAATCAAGTTAGTTTTGTTAGGGTTTGATCCCTAGTATCCACTATGTTCTGAGATTGATGTTGCTATGACTTTGCTATGCTTAATGCTTGTCACTAGGGCCCGAGTGCCATGATTTCAGATCTGAACCTATTATGTTTTCATGAATATATGTGTGTTCTTGATCCTATCTTGCAAGTCTATAGTCACCTATTATGTGTTATGATCCGACAACCCCGAAGTGACAATAATCGGGATACTTCTCGGTGATGACCGTAGTTTGAGGAGTTCATGTATTCATTATGTGTTAATGCTTTGGTCCGGTTCTCTATTAAAAGGAGGCCTTAATATCCCTTAGTTTCCACTAGGACCCCGCTGCCACGGGAGGGTAGGACAAAAGATGTCATGCAAGTTCTTTTCCATAAGCACGTGTGACTATTTACGGAATACATGCCTACATTACATTGATGAATTGAAGCTAGTTCTATATCACCCTATGTTTTAACTATTGCATGAGGAATCGCATCCGACATAATTATCGATCACTGATCCATTGCCTACGAGCTTTTCACATATTGTTCTCCGCTTATTTACTTTTCCGTTGCTATTGTTACAACTACTACAAAAACCCCAAAACAATTACCTTTACTTTTGCTACTGTTACCATTATTATCATACCACTCTTGCTACTAAATACTTTGCTGCAGATACTAAGTTATCCAGGTGCGGTTGAATTGACAACTCAACTGCTAATACTCAAGAATATTCTTTGGCTCCCCTTGTGTCGAATCAATAAATTTGGGTTGTACTTCACCCTCGAAAGCTGTTGCGATCCCCTACACTTGTGGGTTATCAAGACTAATTTCTGGCGCCGTTGTCGGGGCTCCTAGCTCTATTCTCTGAGTCACTTGGTATTTATATCTGTTGATCACTATGAAGAACTTGAAAGACGCTAAGACCAAGATCTATCCCTCAACTACGAGGGGAGGTAAGGAACTGCCATCTAGCTCTGCACTAGATTCTCCTTCCGTTATTAGTAAGCTTGCGACACCTAAACCTTCTACTGCTATGAATTCTGATATGTCGCATGTTATTGATGATGACACTTCTGCTATGCATGATGAAACTACTTCTGTGCGTGATACTACTTTGCCATTAGGTGAATTTTTAGATGAACAACTTGCTATAGTTAGGGGGAATGAAAATATTGAAGATGCTATTGATGATAGTGATGATGAACGTTCCCCAATGATTATGTTTTACCTTTTGTTCCTAAGGGTTATGTTATGAATGAAAAAGCTGCTATGGAAATTCTTGCTTGTAATGATAGATCTGATCTTAAGAAATTATTAGCTAAATGGAAGCAGCAGTCTCTTAATGCTA